CTCCCATTGGCTGGGAATGGCGAACCGCGGCCACAGGGAGCTGAGGGGCTCCATGCCTGCAAACACTCCAGGTAAACAAAACGACAATGTATTAATTATTCAATTCAGTGATTCCATAGAGTTTAAAATCATCAAATTTTGGTGTAGACCCGTTTATAAGCCGATCCCTGCTCTTTGATGTGTCACTTTTTTTACCAAAAATATTCAGCTTATGAACCAGTATATACGGTAATTAATGGAAAACATCTCAACATAAAGACGTTCTTTAATACTTAAAAACTGACATACCTCTTCATCAGATTTGGACATATTTTTGAAGCTATGAAACTACTTTGAGATGTTTGAAGAGAATAGTTACACCTAGATGAATGTTGCCCAGTTAGATATGACAAATCTTTTAAGATATAACAGGAGGCCCTGTGGCCTACACATAGTTGCTACAAAGTCCAAGACCTCCCCAGCCTTTCATTATTCCAGTTCAGGCTCCCAATGCTATGATAGAGAAAGGGCACATTATAATGGTTTTGATGAACACACAATGGAACTATCTTTGCCTCAGTACAGCATTTTCATGGTCAAGAGGATTAAAGCAAGAGGATTAAAGCAGGATATTGACAGTCTATCAGAACTCTGGAAAACCCCATTGGGTGGACGTGGAGAACACTAATATAAAATATCCATGCAGACAGCCTTGGCTGTATGATATGACATTAACCGTATCTTAAAAAAATAACTATGCCCAGACTGATACTCACTTTTTTCTAGGTCATGCTTCTCTCTGGCTTTGAAATGCTGTATGAATCCCACTTCTTCCATCATGCTGCGGCTTTCTCTAGAGTCTCCAGATGCTAGACTGTCATCGAGACAGAGACCAACTTTCTTACAGATAAGGTCTTCTGTGGCGATAGTGGCCTTTACCATTTCCACAAATAATTTCAAAACTTGCTGATAAGATTCCTGAAGTTTTTTCCTAGAATAGAAATACCATACAGTGCAAAGTACAGGATATTTCAACTAGAAGAGGTACTTAAATATTGATAACACTTTTAAAAATTCAAAACCTCTCTGCAGGTTTGAGAGATTCTGTGACACAGCATGTTATCAATATTTAAATGCCTCTTCTAGTAAGGATGCCACTTTGCAGATATTTTCACTACTAAATTCCCCGAACAAATGAAGGATTAATTGTTAAATTAGACGTTGTTGATTAGACCTTGAGACCTTGTCTCTTCATTGCTCTATCACAGGGGTCAGCAACCTTTCAGAAGCGGTGTGCTGAGTCTTCATTTTTTCACTCTAATTTAAGGTTTTGCGTGCCAGTAATAAATGTTAACATTTTTAGAAGGTCTCTTTCTATAAGTCTATAATATATAACTAAACTATTGTTGTATGTAAAGTAAATAGGTTTTTAAAATGTTTAAGAAGCTTCATTTAAAATTAAATTAAAATGCAGAGCCCCCCAGACCGGTGGCCAAGACCCAGGCAGTGTGAGTGCCACTGAAAATCAGCTCGCATGCCGCCTTTGGCACATGTGCCGTAGGTTGCCTACCCCTGCTCTATGAGAATCCCAAACAATTGCTGTCTCCCAATAACAAAAACATCTGTAAAATATTGATTTGTTATTACAAGCTTCTTATACCATTCATAAATATTAGATAAGTATTGCAAATTAATTGAAGGTTTCATGCCATCATTTTTAACTGAATAGTTATGTATGAATGAAGGTAGGAGACATCTGGATGTTTGCTAAGCTTCTCCACACAAAAGAACATTACAACGACGATGAAAATTCTTTCCATAAAGTAATGGCAATAATTTGAGTTCTCACTAGTGTGTAGTATTAAAGCCTATCATGCGTAATAATTCTTTAGCTCTGGAAAATACATGCCAATCAAATCCATTTCCTCTTCTGCTCTCTGTCTTGTCCCCAGAGTTCTGCCCTGGTTACTTTCAATTCTCACTCTGAGGAGCTCATCTGCTCCCACAATTTCAGCTACCATGTCTATGCAAATGACTGACATCTACCTCTTCCCTCCTGATCTCCCATCCACACTGAAATATTATATTTCCAAACGTGGTTTCCTGGATGGATCACTGCCCTCTCACACACAATGAAAAATTAACAGGCCTTCTTCTTCCTCTCTCCATCACTATCCCCAGCTTACAGCACAGAGCTTGTGAGCCTGTAGTACTCAGCCCTCTCCTGAACCACATTCAGTTTTAAGTAAATTCTTGCTTTTTACTCTACGCTCTTAACAATCATGCTTTCCGTCTCCATCCTTGGTCACCCTTGACTAATGCACCCTTCTCATGACTGGCCTTCGTGATGCCTAACTTAATTCTAACCTCTGAAGAAATGAGATTGCAAAAATTAACTTTATTCTTACAACGCTGGCCACTTTCTCCAGCCTTCAAACTGCTCCAATGGCTTCCCCTTGTTTTCCATATTATATTCAAGCTTCTCATCTTTATGGCATGGCACAATTCCACTTTTGTCTCTCCCATTTCTTCCTACTCCCAATTCTGCTTTCTATACTTCAACATGTCCACTTCCTGAAAATCTTTTTTTATCTTTATCCCACTCTCGTCTTTGCACCTTCCATTCAATTCCATTCCATGCACCTGGATCTCCTTTCCTTTGTTTTTGCACCAACTGATCTCCCTCTCCTCACTCAGAGGTCTCTTAAACAAAAAAACAACACAAAACAAAACAAAAACCCCACCTCGCACACACACACCACACTACTAATACTTCTGGGGGAATTCTGCGCCACTGTGCGCGTGCAGAATTCATGTCCCCCACAGAAAAATGACTTTCTGACAAGGAAGCAAAGGAACCCTGCAAGAGCAGTCACGCACCACTCCCTACCTGCACAGGTACATCATTTCAAGCACCCAGAGTAGCTGGCAGACAGGTAAATCACCGCAGGGCAGAGGACAACCCAGGCAGTGGCTCCTACTCTGACCAGGATATCAGCTGCTAGTCCCAGCTGGGCTGGAGGCAGGAGTGGACGAGACTTCCTCTTCTCCTGCAAGGAGTAGCTGGGGCTGTGTCAGACCCACCTCCAGAAACCTCTCCCAGCTGCAGGAAACTCAGCATCCTCCCCTGCTTCCTGCCCCCATCACTCCTCAGCTGCAGGGGGAGGGGGTCACTGTACGCCCAACCCCCGTGCATCTGGACCTCCCATACCCAGACACCCCCGCAAAGCCTCATCCCATACAACCAGAACCTTCCTACCCCTCCATACCCAAACCCCACCCCACTGAAGCTCAACCCCTACATCTGGACCCCACCCCCATGCACTATACAGAGTTTTTCCAAAGTTTGCTTACCATGAGATAAAGACTACACATTACTCTTATTCCAATCATCAATATGATTTCTTCACTACAATGTCTACTTTCAATAACTACTCAGTTCCAATTGTTTCCTAAAGAGATTCTAATGTACCCAGAGGTAAACTGAAAACAGAAAGAAAGAATCTACCCTGCTCTTCTATCTGATCCCAAAAAAGCCTTCACCTTTCTTTTCAAACTCTGAGCTAATTTGTATACCTATTTCAGATAATAAACAGATACAAGTTAGTGAAGTGGGTATCAGAATGGTAATGTTCATTTTCAAGGTGTCCTAGATTTTTAGCATGTAAAGTAAAGACTAACAGTAACTTGGATATGCTTCAAAGATAGCGAAAACATCGTCACCTTCCTATACATTTAATTTGGCTTAGTTACTTTTTCATTTACGGAGGGAAAAAAAACAAACAGATATACGACATTGAACACTATATATCCCAAAATGAACTAACCTTTCATTCTGGGACAGTTCGATATCAGATCTCAACATAGCTACCAGGTACTCTCCTTCTTGATTTTCTCTGTCTCGTCGCTGTAGCAGGGTCTCTAGCTCAGAGTTAGTCTCCTCCAACTTTTGATTTAAAGACTCCACTTTCTTTTCCAGCTGTGGGAAATGGAACAACAAGGCAAGGGATAAAAGGCCAGTCATTTTTACCAAACTACTAGAGCTTTATTCAGTTATCTTATTATGAAATCTCATCTACAATACAGAGAAATCACAAACAGCTCTGGAGACCGCATTCCATTTATAATGGATTCTAATACCACAAGAGTTGGAGAACATGAGAAAGACTAAAACAGAACGGCAGTTAAAATTGTTTTTCTCTCTTTCTAGTATAGTTTTGTTTAAAGTCGCTGTTAAATCTGCATCCATAGTCTCAGCACATTCAAGTAATGCTGGCAAGTTATATAAGCTCTTAATGACACTTCAGTTTGTTTTGCATTAACTTTCTCCATTCAAGTCTGAAGGATAGAAAGCAGTGCTCTGGCAGAATTTGCTACAGTGCAGCACACAAACTTCAACAGTGAATTGACTCAATAAGATCACATCCCAACCAATGTTTCTCCATTCTTTATCCCAATAAACCTTTTTTGTCCAGAAAACATCCTTTATTCTCTGCTCTCATTTTTGTGTTGACTTCAATATGCTGCTCTTTTAAAAGTGAATAGTGCTTTAACTGCTGGCAGCTATCAAGCACATTTACATCAATAACGTTACACCTGATCACCCGAACAAACCATTACTATGGCAACAACTTTTGCCTCAACACAAAGCAAGTATTTAACTATACTTTTTCTTTGAAGAGGGAAAAGGAGAGACCAGGGTAAAAAGCATTCCATTTCCCTGCCAATTTTCTGCCGTTATTCATTAAACACTGTATGAAGAGCACAAAATAATGTTAGTCTCTAAGGTGCCACAAGTACTCCTGTTCTTTTTACAAAATAATGTGCTCTTCTTGAAGTTACTATTACCAATTTCCAGTTTTTCATCTAAACAGAAAATGAAGTTTCACTGAGGAATAGTTTTGATGTAACAATTCTACATTTTTGAGCATTTGCATTGAATATTGGCCAACAACATTAAAATAAACTCTGGGATTCTCCTGAATTATTAGAAGGGAGCACCACAACTAAACTGATACTTTACTCCCTTTCATTTCCAACCTTGAAAACTCACCTTCACTTTTAATTTATTCTAAGTAGGAAAAACAGCTCATTTTAATTCATTTGCTGTTTCTACATTTCCTGCTTAAGGGCTAGTCTACACTGGCAACACTAAAGCACTGCCATGGCATCACTTTAACATGGTTTGTGTAGTCACGGCAGAGCGCTGGAAGAGAGCTCTCCCAGCGCTCTTAAAACCCTCCATGACGGGCGTGGCTCCCCGTGCTGGTACACGGTTTACCCTGGCACATTACAGCGCTGAAACTTGCTGCGGTCAGGGGGGTGTTTTTTCACACCCCTGAGCGAGACAGTTGCAGCGCTGTAAAGTGCCAGTGTAGACAAGCCCTAAGACACACAGCCTTTACAGTCTGTCACTGCCCATCCTAAAGCCTGGAGGGAATCTTGATTCTACCAAGATTTCTGTTCTGCAAGAGCTTTCCAAACAAGCTAAATTAGGCCTTGTCTACACTGGCAATTACAGCGCAGTAAAGCAGCCTTCTCCGGTGTAACTCCTGAGGTGTACACACTGCCAAGCCACTTAGTGTACAGAAACTCCTCAGTTGCAGCGTTGCAAAAAAAGCACCTCCACGAGAGTCAAAAGAGCAGAGGCTCCAGCGCTGTATTGGCAGGGTAAACACATTACAGTGCAGAAAGCAATCAACTGGCCTCCTGAAGTGTCCCATAATCCCTCAAGTGGCCACTCTGCTCATTGGTTTGAACTTGGCTGCCCTGGAGACATGCGCCCCTCCCTTTCAAAGCTCCATTTCTGACAGCCCTTGGGTGCTGTGCCAGTCTGCTCTGGGACACAAAGCCAACCATTAATGGGGCATGCTCCTGCTGTTGAGCACAGAGGCAGGCATGTGTGTGTGTGTGTGTGCATGAGTGAGAGAGAGCGAGAAAGAGACAGACAGACAAGATAGCTGGAGAGGGAGACGGGGGCTGATGTCAGGGTTTCCCCCTCCCCAGTGCCGGGTTTACAATGGTGCCAGTGGCGCCATGGAGTCAGGCCCATGCTCATAAGGGGCCCCGACCTGCTCCGCTTGCACTGCTCCTCCCCGCCCACCACTTGCTCCTCTCAGCCTGCCTGCCGGCTGGCCGAGAGCTTCTCTCTGCCCCCTGGCCCCACCCCCCTGCTCCTCTCTGCCCCCTGGCCAGACACCAATGCACCTCCAGCTCCAGGCAGTCTCTGCTTCCCACCACCTGTGGGTCCCCGCCTGTCTAACTGGGAAAGAGCGGGCTGGGACTAGAGCAGAAGACCGGCCGTACTCAGTCAGGGGGGGGCAGGGGGCACCGCGTGGGG